TATTTTATAATATATATATATATATATATATATATATATATACAAAATAATTATTTACTCTATCAATAAATAACTACTCTCTATCTCCAATTTTATTTAAGATTATTTTAAACTTTTCTAATTAGATAATATCTCACTTTTGTTTGGATGTTTAATTTAAACTTTGTAACCTCTATTATTTTTATGTTATATTTTATATTATTTTTAAACAAAATACATAAAGATACAAGATGTATCGATTATACAAAAGAAAATAATAATAATAATAATGTATTATTAATATTTTATCACGTATCCTCTCATAAATCAAATAAGTTGATTTATTTATTTTTCTTCATTTTTTTAATCAAATTAAACAAAAAGATTTTTATTTCCTTCTCTTAATATTATATCAAATAAATAATAGTGGGTCAATTATAAATTAACTACAATCTTAAGTATTAAATTAAGTTGTTATTTTCATACATTTATTCTAGCTTATTTTGGTTGAATATGAATAAATTTCTCAATAAGCATTTATAAAAGCATATGTTGGGACAAACTTCCTAGCACACACAACAATTAAGGATCACAAAAATCAAATAATACCACCAATAAAAATAGCCAAAAATACAAATTTAGCATGTTTAGCATTTCTTACTTTTATGCCTACAAATTGGAATATTTACTATCTCAAATAATATTACAATTTTGGGAAAAAAAAATTCTATTACAAGTTTTTTTTTACAAACCTTTCAAATAACGTACCACCTTATAAAAATGAGTGCCCTACTCAAAAGTTACAACAAATGACAAACACTTTCTAATTACTCATATTGTGAACCTTCTATTTGAAACTCTCCTTTCTTTATACCTTTACAATAAGACTCTCTCTTTTTTATAGTAGTGATAAAAGTTAAATGATTTCATTCAATCATTCATGAATGTGATTTAGTGGAGCTTAATTGTCTCACCTCTCCACTTAGAGCTTTTATGATAATGAAATTCTTTCTTAGTAAAGATACATTTTACTATTTATTGAAAAATACCTTCTAAATTTTCTCACATTTATTTAGAAATCAAATTGTTTTCCAACAAAATAAATTACAAATGTAAAATGAATAAAATTTGTAAGCTAAAATTAATTCAATTATGCACCTTAACTTTTAGGGAAAAAAATAGACAAAAAAGTTATAAATAATAAATAAATATATAAATTGGCCGGTTTTAACTTGTAATCAAATTTTAGTTTACTTTACCACTTTATTTATTTCTATATAAAAATATTTGTTCAAAATTTTATCTAAATTAGAATTTTAAACAATGTATGTAACCATTTTCCAATTCATAATACTTTGCGCATTAGAGGTGCATACTACTACACGTGAACCAACATAAATCTCTTGCATTATAAATATAACATATATATTTCTTTTTGGTCTATGACTAATAATGTCCTTGTGAACATGGGTTGACAAAACAGGTTGGAACAATCTCTTGTTATATTTCTTTGCTTAACTGAAAGGAGGAAATTACATGAAATGTCAACTCGATCAACATAAGATTTTTAATTTTTGTAGAACTAATTAATAAAATTAATGCCCTATACATTGAGATTACAGAGTTTATATATTCTCATCCAATCATAATCGTTTCGTATAATAAATTTAATAATTTTTATAATAATAAATATTTAAAATTCATATTTACCAAGAATTTTGATTGATTAAAAGTTTAATTGAAAGTGTGTAGAAGTAAAATCCTAATAAAATAGTCTTTCATTTTCCTAATTAATTACACATGAAGTCTCCTGAGCTATTCCTTCGATCAACAATTACTTTACACTTTGTCTTGTGGTCATTCGTGTTCTCTGACAAACAAACCACAAAACCCAAAATTATTATTAGAAAAAGAGTTTTCAATATTCCATATTGATATTTTAATATTGAACCAAACATCTGATTATATAAAAGTCTGATAAGGAAGAGTATATGTATTTTCTTTCTTTTTTATATGTCTAAAAATTTTGAATTATTTAAGAGTTGAGACTAAGAATAATCTATAAATATTTTTTTTCTTTAATACATTGATGTACTTTTTTAAAGACAAAATCATGATAGTCCAATAAATATTAAAATAGACTAGTTTATAAATATCTTCCTCTTTTAAGTTACTGAGATTTCTTTTCAAAGATCAAACTATGAGAAGTGATCAATAATATAGAAGATGCAATGATTTTAAAGATATGAATGAACTTGCATTCGAAACACTTTATATATAATTGGGAAACTAACAACTCCCGGAAAGCCATATTGTTGGGAAATTAGCAACTCGCGGAAAGTGGTACCTTATCTGAGTGACGTAGAATTGAATTTGAATTCTCTTAATTTGTATTATCCGTATTATTCATGCAAGCAGAGAATATATAAAGTGGAATATTATATTATGTAATAATTAGATGGTTCACATTTTCTCTGCAGTCTCTTTAACTATTCACACCCAAATTTAATAATATTCTCCACGCAAGAGCTTGTTAATTTACATCTGTTGAGATTTGAGACAACCCCACGAGTATTCAATGGTTAATTTGTTGAAAACACATTCTCATTTCGATGTGTATATATATATATATATATGATGCCCCCAATGAACTAAAAGACACATAAAAACTTAATATTAGAGCTAGTGTGTGTTAAGAGGCAAATATAAAGATGAAATGTACACATGCTCTCTCGGTCAATATTCTTTTGCTTCTCAGCATGCCACGTGCAAGGCTCGAGGCCTGTACCGTATAAACATTCATCTGTTTCCTCTCCCTTTATGATGGCTCAAGCATACTCTGGTCCTAGTCCACGTGGAATCGGTCATAAATTCATTTCTTCACAGTTAACATAAACCATCTTCTCCATTTATGTTTTTGGTTGTTAATAATTTATAACCACATTGTCTTGATACCAAGAACTTAATGAAAGCTACGTGTTTGTTTAATTAATCTGAACATAGGAATATTAGAGAATTCTTTGTCCTTTCGCAGCAGTGCCTACCTAAAATAAAATTAGTCTCATGCATCAATGCCATATTTAGAGTATTATCTTTAGATTGTTAATTGTTAGTATTATTTTTTCCCCTGTTGTCTGTTATAAAGAATAAATAAAATTATATTCAATTTCTTTTTAAAAAAACTTCAATAATATTTACCAAAAACATTTTTGTATGACATGCTTGCAGCCGCATCTAACGCAACCAACATGATAATTAATTATTCATACAGACAGTAATAAAATAACAAATGCATGTTGAATTTGAAATTAAGATATACAGTGCTACATATATATTTATTGTGAATCCAAAGAAATTGGTGGATTGAGAGAAAAATAATGGGTGGGATGGTGGTATTCTCAAATAAGACATTGTTTCGGTGGGCCGGGCCTTAAATGGGCCGATAGGCGGGTACACCAACCCCTATAAAGAAGATATAGTTGAAATGAATGCGGTTAAGTAAATGCCAAAGAAGTCGTTTTCAAAAGCGATTCTCCAAATATTTTGTGTAGAGATTAGCGAACCATTGTTGAAGCTTTCCATGATGGTAAGCACATCCCTTCCAACGTGGAATTGGTCCTAACCACTTAATTTGCTCTTCTCTTTGTAGTGCCCAAAATAGGTTGAAAGCGAAACGACTGAAATAGCGTCAAAATAAAAGGGTTAAACCAAAAACTTTTTAAGATACAAAAGATTGGTTCATCCAATTAATTAAATACATGAAGTCGCCATTGTTTTTTATATTCAATGCCATCTTAATTTTTAATAGTAATCTATATCACTCGTTGCTGATGATAAAACTTGCTTTTTAACATATTTTGTTGCACATTCTTTTAAGGGATATTTTAAAATTATTAAAATTTTAGAAGATTAAAACTACATTTTGACATATTTACAAAGATTAAAACCATAAATATTTTAACACCCGAAACACTCTTTTTTCATAATTATTCTACAATTAATACAATAATACTACCAAAGTAAGTCAACAAAAAAAATCCTAATTCAACTCTTAAATTGAAAATAATTATGCTTAGTAAATTATTTTGCAGTTGATCGGAAAAAAAACTGTCATAATTAATTGAATGTCATTAACAATAATAATTATTAGTAGTAGTAGTAATGATAAGTTAGGTTATATTTGTTGGACCAATTACTAACTAACTGTCTTTTGCGGACTAAACTTAGAAAGTTCAATCCATGGGCTTACATAACTCACCCACAAATTGAGTTAATAATCCATTGAGGCAGACTAGTCCATCAAATATTTTTTATTAAAACAAGTAAAAAGTTTTAAAAAAAATGGACGATTTGTATTAAAAAAAAGATTTTTGTTAATAAATTTTGTATGGTACATACTGTTGAGGTAATAAATAAGGCTTTGAAGTTGTGAAAATAAAAAAAGACTTTCTTTATATTTACCTTCACTTTTTAAATTTTCTATTTTTTTGGTGTTTATATTCACTCATAAATGAGTTTTGCTTTACTAGAGTTTTTTTAGTAGACATAGGACAAGCGGAACAATCCACGACAACTTGCTTTTGATAGAGTCATGGTAGAATAGGTAAGCTAGCTCCCTCTGTGACCCATAAAAAATAATGGTGGGGAAGAAGGTCAAGTTACCAAGTAATCGCTAGTAGAGTTAGTTTATTTAATTAACTTGATATATTGGAGTGAATAATAATTAATTTGTATATTTATATTTGAAAAGTAGAATTATTGAAGTGGACGTGTGGGCTGGTAATGATTTATGAAGCAGAGGAAAAGAAAAAAAGAATAGTTTGTAGAATGAAAGAGGAAGAAGAGCATTGATGTTGTGTATTTGTCGTGTTGGAAAAGCATGAAAAGCAGGTACAGCCCCATAGGCCTTAACCTTAACCTTTACTTCACATGCCCCATTCCCATTCCCTTTTTATTTATTCATCAAGCAGAAGCAGAAGCAGAAGCAGAAGCAGCGCCAGAGAGAAACGACAAGAGGATGAAGCGTCCGGCGAGCGGTGAGGGTGAGGGTGAGGGTGAGGGTGAGATGAAGATGAAGAAGGCAAAGGCAAAGGCAAAGGCGGTGGAAAGCAAGGGCCTGGGTTGCTTGGACTCAAACCTTGTGTTCGAGGTGCTGAAGCACGTGGACGCGCGGACGCTGGGCATGGCGGCCTGCGTGAACAAAGAGTGGCAGAAGACGGCGCAGGACGAGAGGCTGTGGGAGCTGATCTGCACCAAGCTCTGGGCAAACACGGGGTGCGGAGAGCAACAGCTACGATCGGTGGTCCTCGCTCTGGGTGGGTTCCGCCGCCTCCTTGCGCTCTATCTCTTCCCTCTCTCCAAGCCCCTCCGTTTGGGCAAAGACGAGCTTCACCTCTCTCTTTCGCTTCTCTCCATTCGTTACTTCGAGAACATCAATTTCAATAACACACCCACTTGATTCTTCCATTCCAATCCAGATCTGCTTTTTATTGGGCCAATTAGTCTAAGCTGAACGTCTTTTGTAATCTGCATCTGTATGTACTATATAAATAACTATTGGATCCAATTATGAATGATGATAAATTAGGGTTTGGATAAATGTCTGCGACTGCTTATGTCTTCTGTCTTCTGCCTCTTACTTCCGCCCAATACGGAAACGACACACCAATCCCTTTCCTTTCGTATTCCATTGCCAAAGTAGGTGACAAAAATTAAAAAAGGATACTCTATCGGTAGCAAAGGAACACATGATTCATTTGGAATAACAACATCTAAGATCGATCCAATGTATTCATAATTAATTTATTTGTTTTTTACACACGAAATTGTTATTATTTTTAATTGGTTAAATCAAAATATATTCTATTAAAAATTTATTTTTATTTATTTTTTTTCACTTATTTCCCTTTAATTCAACAGAACATAAGCAATAAGATATTAAGATGAATTGGTGTGTTTAGAAGAAAAAAAATTATACTTATAAGTTTTAATTTTTTATATTAAAATATGTATTTTTTTTATTAAATGAATCTTAAATTGATATCTAAATATGCTATTTGACAGTAAAAATATTGGGGTAAGAGTTAAAAATAAGAGGAACGGCATGCGCAATCCGTGTACGGGTACAAGTTAACACTTAGGTTGTGTTTGGATTGAAGGATGGATTTGGGGGAGTGGAAAAGGAAAAATTTGAAGAGAAAGAAAGTGGAAAGTGAGGTTTTTTGGATTAAGGGAAAGATAGTGGAAAGTGAGTAGTGAAAAGTTTGTGAGAATTTGTGTAGAAATTGATTGATGTGATAGATAAAAATTAAAAATTTAATAGATGAATATGTAATTTGCACTTTTACTCTTAGATTAAAAATGAGTAGAATATTATTTATTGTAAATAATAATAATTACAATAAAATTATATTAATAGGTATAATTTATTAAAAAAATAATAAATAATGATAATAATAATAATAAATATTAGAAAAATAATAAGAATCATAATAAATAACAATGATAGTAATTATAATAAATAATAATAATAATATTTATAATAATAAATAATAACAAAATATATTATGATAATTATATTTTCTAATTTTCATTTTTAATAACAGTCAATTTGGAACGGCCCGTTCTCAACTAGGATTTTTAAGCTAATTTATAACGTGTTTGTTTTCACGTTGAATGAAACTGAACGGTAATCCATCCCTTCACTTTTCTGCTTTGGAAAGTGTAAAAAATCCGTTGAATGATATTCAAACGGTAAAACAAACACGCTATTAGTAGTTTGGAACGGCTCGTTCCAGTTTGGGAACGGCCCGTTCTAGGCTACTAAATTACCCTTGTTTTAGTAGTTTGGAATGACCCGTTCCAATTTTGGAACGATCCGTTCTAGGCTACTAACTACGTTACACGACTGGAAGCAAAAATATGCCACCATAATCGATTATGCATGCATAATCGATTATGTGCCATGCATAATCGATTATGCTGGCCCATAATCGATTTGTGTCATGCATAATTGATTATGTTGGCTAGGGGTTCAGTTTTTCTCCGCGGTTTGTCCTCCATTCTTCATTCCCATACCTCTTTTACCCTCCCTCATGTATAAAGAAATGAACCTCTGCTGCATGGCACAGTCTCTGCATGCATGAGCATGGCAGAGCTTAATCTATTTTCAGCTTTTGGGCAAGGGTATTATCGAGTTTTCTCATTTCTTACGTGACTTTCATCTCTTTTCTTCACAACTTCACGAGGAACGGCCACGCAGGTTCTCCCGCTTTTCTTCGCTTTTCTTTCAGTACAAATTAGCGAAAACAAACGTCAAGTTTCTTTACCTTTCGTTTGTCGTGAACAGTAAATCCCCCGAAACAAACGGGACTTAACGAGTAGTTTCCTTAATCCCAAATGAGCGAAGGGTGGAATATCAACATCAACATCACAGGTAATCCGTCAAGCAGTACGAATGACCTTACAACTTGGGCTCGGTTGCACATGATACAAAAAAAATAAGTATTTGGAAGATCCAAAGGAAATTTTATTTTTGATGGGTCAAACAAACATTCAGACTATGTGCTGGCCGAAATAATGTATTCATTTTCTTTTTTTAAGTAAGATTAATGGATTAAATAAACATAATGTATTCATTTATTTAAATTTACTAAAATATTATTCAAAAAATTAATTCCTCCAATTCATTTAAGAAAATAATTATTCGATTTATTCATTAATAATTTTTTTATGGATGTATTTATAAAAAAAAGATTTTTATAATTTTTATTTTGAAATATTTTCCTTCTCTTTATTTTTCTTTCATTCTCCTATCTCTATTTTTTTTTACTATCTACATACTTAATATCTTAAATTTCATAATGTTTTGTCGTTATATTGACAACGAAATTTATTTATATATTTTGCAAATTCAACATGTTGATTTTGTGGTGGTTGTTTATCCTCCGATGGAAGTGAGATTTCAAATTGATTTGACAAAAACAAATTAAAAAATAATTAAAATGTTGTATTATTTTTCCTTTTCTTAATCCAAATCCAAACCTTATGAATTTTTTTTGTTATATTTTTCAAGTAACTTTGAATGATTACTAAAATTTATTTAGTTTTTTTTTTAATTTATAAATTTATAGTCTTTTCAAAATTTAAAATTTTTATGATATAAATTCATTAAGATCTAAAGTATAAAATGTTAATTATAAAATTGTTTTATTATATTTTTACATAATTTTTAAAAAATTATAAGATTTTTTTATATCAAAATAATCTTTTAAAATCATGATTTAAATACATAACAAAAAAATATTTAAAAAAAAACTCAACCCAATATACTTTTCTTATTGTAATACAATGAATTATGAAAATAAAGTGAATTAATCACTAACCATCTATAAAATAAAAGTAATAATAATAATTTATTAATATTATGTTGTATAATTGATAGATTAGATGGATAACTTGATGGAAGAGCATGGATCAACGGTCCAACCACTAGAGTCTCTGGCTATCTGTTTTATTGGATTTTTTGGTTGTTCTATTTGTATAGGTAGTGGCCGTTTTCTTTTGGGTTGTTATACGAAGTTGAATGGCTTGTTCTGCAAGCAGAACGGCCTGTTCTGCAAGCAGAACGAGCCGTTCTGCTTGCATTTTTGTTTTTTTTATTTTTATTTTTTTTGCTACTTTTTTACGTCGGATGTCGTAATGTCCAACGTAAATTTATGCAGTTTTGCAGATCTGACTTAAAATTTACGTCTCCCGCTTCTATGTCAGTATGTTTTCTGACGTAAAAAGCTCAAAATATCCGACGTAGTACACCTCTTTTGTACTAGTGATTAAAAACTTTTTTCAATCTTCAATATGGGTGATTAGGTTTGAGAAATTTTCGATGCCTAATGTAGACAGTTTTCTTTCCATGCTTCAATTGTAAGTAGCTTGTTTGTTTTTCACAGATAGGGCATGCGTGATGTCCTTTAACACTATATCCACTCAAGGTCCCATATGCTGGAAAATCATTAATAGTACAAAATATCATTGCATGTAGCTTGAAACTCTGTTGACGATACCCATCAAACACATCAACCCCTTCTTCTTACAAAATTCTCAAGTCCTCGATCAAAGGACTTAGGTAAACATCTATGTCATTTCCTGATTATTTTGGGCCTACAATCATCATACACAATATTACATATTTTCTCTTCATGCACAACCAAGGAGGCAAATTGTAAATTGAAAGGAGAACAGGCCATGAACTATGGTTGGTGCTTAAGTTTCCAAAAGGATTCATTCCATCTGAAGCAAGCCAGAGCCTAAGGTTTCTTGCCTCACTACCAAAATGTGGAAACAAACCATCAATTTTTTTCCATTGTGGGGAATCAGCTGGATGGCGAAGCATGCCATCACAATTTATATTTGTAGACCCCTAAAATTTTCCGGGTCGGAAATAAGACTCAAAGACTCTCGAAGACCGAAGGAAAGTCAGCCGGAAGGACTCCTGGAAGACCCTAGGATGATTCTTTGTAGGTCTAGAAGTCTTAGAGTAGCTTAGAATAAGGGTATGTGAGGATTGGAGCTCAATACACCCTCCTAGAGGTTCAGTACGGCCGTACTGATCCATTTGAACTACAATACGGCCGTAGTGAAATTCAATACGGCCGTACTGTAGTTCAAAAACTCAGTACGGGCCGTATTGACCCCCTAGGCCGTATTGCGCCTCAATCCTATAAATAGGACGTCATTTGCACGTC